TCCTTCCTTTAAATAAAACAAAAAAATCAAATGGTCCAACAAATAAGCCTTTTAAGAGCAGGATATTAAGGAGGACATAAAATACATATTTGAAGCCACATATTTTTATTGCACGATATTGCATGATTCACAGTTCAAAACAAATCCTTATTTATCTCATGCTGCTTGTTATGTGGCCCCTCAGCTCAGCTGCCGCCTGTAATATTAGCTCCGGGCTCTTTAAACCCATAAAAGCGCATTTTCTTCTGACTGGCAGGCTTTGTGGAAGCCTGCCGAGGGGCAGCACCCAGTGCTTGTGAGCTGAGCATCATCCTTTCTGTCGCTGTAGAGCTTCTAAAACCCAACTCTAAACCTACTAAGTAACATAATTTCTTGTTCTCGACTCAAAATGGCAGCTTCACTAATCTGTATGTATACATTCATTCTCTGACTCTTGGAATGTGATGGTGCGTGGTGACATAGCAACATCTCCGTTATGACATCACAACCACTGTGTGACAAAATAGAGGATTAAGTTATTTGCACTCACATTTTATGTTTTTAGATTGATTGTTGTAAGGTTTAGAGTGGAAAAACAGTGGGGAGAAATATGAAATAATTCTCAATATATGCCAAAAGTAAGCAAGCTTCTATTAATGTTAGTTACTAAGACTGTGATGCACGTCCATAGAATACTTCTCAGCTGGTTAATTTTGAATTAAGACAACCTTTTCCCTAATTTAAAACTTTTTCTTTAAGCCGCTCAGCCTCATTTGTAAAACTATGACTACCATGATAGACAAACATGTCTGCATCAAATGTCATATAAAGCAAAAAAAAAACATAAGGAAGATTCAATATATTTTCTATAAAGCACATGTTGGGGTCATCCATTTTGGGGGATAGACCTGCTGGGCTGCGCAGGTCAACACGCGCAGCTCAACAGATGTTGCAGCTCTGACGTCACCCAGGATTATAAAACCAGTGGAAAATAAACTTTCGTTGCCATTTCCAGCTTGTCTCACAGGACGACGCAACGGAGGCGCATATCTGGCGAGACAAAAGCTCGCAGGTGAACTTTTTCTCCACACGGCCATTCCCGGAAGAGCTTGAAAGCTGGAAATCTGTCTGATACAAGAAGGTCAGAAGATTCATAAACCGATCAAAGACCCCGCCGACACCCGGCGCAGGTGAAAACCCACAGAGGTTTTATTTCCAAGGAGATGAGTTTTGTTCTTTTTATATTAAATGGGATAGGTGTATTTAGAAGTCTGGGCAGGGTGAGGCATAGTTAAGGTGATTTAGAATCACCAGTAGTTAATCCAAGGTATTAACCTGTTGTATGAAATACTGATTGAAGTGTTTTATGCTGAGCTGTTTGATTTGCTGTGCAAGATGCATGTTCATGTTTTTGTCCGGCTGATCCCAAATCAGCCAGGAGTTAGAAGTTGGACTTTTAAAGTTTTTCCATTCAAAGCAACTGCGGTCTGGGCCTCGTGGCCTGACCACTCCTTTGTCCCAGTTTTATTACTGGAGTTTTTCCATTGAGTTTCCATCTCAGAGTTTTATTACTCTTTGTTCGAGATTTGGGGCAATCAGCTGCTAGTGGCTAAGGGCGCAGCCCACCGTTTTACCAGCTGATCGCCGCTATCGAACAATCAGCACACCAGGAAGGCTCCACTTTCCAAGTTAACCCAAACTGCACATTCTGTCCATAAAACTGCTGGTTTGATCTTCACAGACACTCAATGAGCATATATTTTCTTTTATTATTTTTGTTAGGTAGTCATTTTTATCCCCTTTTTGCAGAATAGTGCTTGTTAGGTGAAGGTTTTTGGACCAGAATGGTGGTATATCAGGGCTATATGGCTTCAATAAATCTTCATATTTATATTTAAGTTTGTTTTTACTTCATGCAAGAGTGATTTATCTGTCAAAACAAGGTCGAAGTTCCCCCACCTTTGGTGAAGCAGTTGAATAAACAGTGACATTTAGTGGTTTTGGTTAATAATTATCAATTATTAATGATAAATAACTAATTGTAATTATTGAGAGCTTTGAGCCCATAATCACAACACCAGAGGACATCTCTGATTTCTATTCGTAAATAATGATTTTTGGTTAAGAAATTATTTTCCTGAATTATGATTTTTAATTACGGTTTGTGATGAATATTAATTAATCAAGAATCATAATCCTTACACGCACGTTGGTACAAGTAATAATAATAGCAATAAATAGATACAAATGTAAGATGCCAAGTCAGAAAAGTATGATGACTGCACCATCTTTCTTTAATTTTGCTCTCCACATCTCATTTTCAAAGCTTAATAAAAGGGTGAGAATTACGTTTGATAGCAGAAGCCATAAACATAAAACTTCTGTGTTCGAAGCTAAATGCCAACAGTCATGAAAACATTAGTCGCTATTAATAGCAGACCATGTCTTGTTTAATCTAAATACAAAATACTAGAAATATGACATTTAAGGCAAACATATAAACACTTATAGGTTGTTCTTTGAGTTCTTAACTTTCGTGGACTTATTTAATGTCAGAGAGTTGAGTTTATGGTTGTTGTGTTTAAGGAGACACAGTGGCACACAACTGGGAAATACTCACTGTGAGTCTTTAAACTGTCTGCACAGAAACTATATTCAGTTGTATTTTTCCTAGAGAGTCAGTAAAGGCATTCAATTCAAACTGAATCACTTTTTGTTTTAAACAGGAATTATTGTTACAACTTTTTTTTTTTTATCAAATTCATGTTTTGTTTTTTTTACATGAGGTTTCTTTTTTTATGTTTAATGTCTTAGTAAATTGAATAATTGACAACTATGCAAATGAAACCAAACCTTTTTTTTCCAAATCAGGGGCAGCAGTTTAAATTATTCCAGTCATTATTCAGACTTTTCCCATATTGTCAACAACATGGACTTTCTTATAATTACACCTTTTTTCAGATAGCTAAGCCTTTGACAAATAACCTGGACCATAATAGTGAACAGCTTGCATCCTTCAGACCATTTTTGGCACCACTGAAGTCGATAAATGAAGCAGATTAGCAACTAATTCAAATGGGAATTTTCCTTTAGCATATTGTTGCTGGGATAGTAAAAGGGATTTGTTTCAGAAAGCAAGAAACAAAGTCGGAAAACATTTTAAAGAGGAACAAAAAGGCTAGATATCTTAAAAATGTTACCAATAGAGAATGAGTACAAAGAACACTTAGGGGGGGAAAAAAAGCTACAAAGGAAACAAAAGAAAGGTCTTATTTGTTGCGACAATACTGTATTTCTGTGTGGCAGATTAGAAAAAGGACCAAAATGTTTAGAACAATCTGTAGCACAGTTAATATGCTCATAATAGGGGAGTTAATAGGACAGAAACAACTCTTAAAAAGAAATATGCATGGCAGCAGATGAAAGTTTTTAACATATTTAGGCTGTAAACTCCAGACTGTTACTCTAACTCATCTTGAGAACCAAATTCTTAGCGGCAACAAGGGATTTCTGGGCATGGGCTGTAAGAATATTAAAACAAGTTTCCCAAGGTGAAACATGTCAAGATCAAATAAAAGTAACCAACACATATTGATTAAATTATAATGTATAAAGTCCACAGAGCACTGATTAATATGCAGTGAAAGCCAGAGCCATGTCACTTCTTGCTGGATGAAGAAATTTTACATCCTAAGCTAGCAAAGTGAACGCAGAGGGAGGGAAAACCTTTCTTTGTTCCCCCAGACATCTACTTTAAACTGCATGTGTCTTTGGGTCTGCAAATCATGCCGCAGTGCTTTTTATCTGTCCCCTGTTCTGCTCCAAGGCTCCGTGGGATTTTTCTTTAGTGTTGTTCGGTGTCAGCTTGCACGTGTGTAGGTTAAGTACATGTTAAGTATGTGACTTAGAACAGAGGGAAGCATGTGGATAAGTTGTACTGAACCGATTGTTCCCACCTGTTAAATCTGATGGGATTGTACAAAATCACAGCTGATATATTTTATTTTATATCGTTAACATTAAGCCATTGATGATGTGTTCGTTAGTTTGCAAGTATACATGAGACAGTTCTATAATCTGTTATTACAGATTTTAGCAGGAGACTACCAGGCCAACTAAGAGTACATTACAATGGACTCGGCATGGGCCAGTTATAGATATCAAGGTCAAGACTGGCGATATAGATTATGTGGTATTTATTGTGATGACAATAAAAGAGACAACAAATTCAGTCCATTGTGATTGATATCAGTTAATGCTTATAGTCAAAGCTTCACCAGAATAAAATGCTGTTCTAACAATAAAACTTACCCATCATCAAATAGTATACTCCACTAAAACAGTTAAATCTAATCTGTACAAAACATTTGCATTTTATCACATTTTGAAAAGAAAACACTGTATTTACTGATGATCTCATGTCATCCGCCATGGAAAACCATCGGTTATAAACCACATTTTGGAAATCTGACCGCCATTTCAAACTTTACTGCCAGACATGTAGAATCAAGAAATCACTTAAACAGACCCTGTCTGACAACATAAAGTAAGCTAAAAGATCTTGTAAAAGCCACACAGCATGGCCTGTTCTAAAAAAAAAAAAAAAAAAACAGCAAAGGAAACTGAGTCACTGACATCCATAACTCTGGAAACAAAGCAATTTTCATTGCATCAGGATTCCAGTGAACCTCACTGAGAGCCTTTATCCACAAATGGAGAAAATGAATACATAGGTCAGAGTTATATTAGACAAGAAACATCTTGATGACTTTGGGAAAATATTATGTGGACTTAAGAGAAAACCTGGTTGTGATAGTGTGATGGCCTGGGCTGCTTTTCCCATAATTGCGGGAATTAGGAATTCTCCTCAATAGCAGAAAAGCCTGAGGAAGAACATCTTCCCAAATCGAGCACATCTGGGTTATAAAGCGGGAAAACCTTTAGAGATACCTGGTCAAAGTCTGGACTTAAATCGAATTGAGATGCTGTGGTTTGCCCTTAAAGATGTCATTCATGGCACAGCGCTGGTGGTGTAGGGGTAAAGCGCGCAACCACATGTAGAGGCTATGGTCCTCGTGGTGGCCGTCCCGGGTTCGAGTCCCGGACCCGGCGACCTTTGCCGAATGTCTCCCCCTCTCTTTGCCCCTCCTTCCTGTCTACCTACTATCAAAACTAAAGGCCTCTAGTGCCGAAAAAAGTCTTAAAAAAAAGATGTCATTCATGACTGAAAACCCTCAAAAATTCCTCACAGGGATGAAAAATACACATCACCAGTTATGTCTAACACTTGATAGTAGTTGTTGAGACAAAGGGTGGCACAAACAGTTATTTAGTTTAGGGAACAATTATTTTTCACATGGGCCTGGTTGATGTAGATAGCTTTTTGTTTATGAACATTTTCCAACTCTCAGAGATAATTTCCATCTGCAGCACCTGACATGACAAAACATATTTGACGCAAAGAACAGTACAAAAAAAACATACAGGGCATATAAACAGCCACTATCATCAAATTGTACATCACATAACAAAAGTTAAAATATATATACATTAAAAATGATAAAAGTATTGCTACAACCTATTGCTAAAACCCACTACTCACCCTACTTCCCTCAGTATATGTGCCTAATGTCACAAAGTTTGACTTATTTTTCCCCAGATAAGTGAACAAATTAATGCAGGCATTTCTCAGAATGCCTTTGTCTGATAATAACATTTGTTGTAATGTAAGCATCATAAAGAAAAGCAGAACCAGAAGAAATCTGAAAAGGGGTAAAAACCTTTTGATGGCACTGAATATCAAGGGATACCAAAGTTTTGAAGTTTTAAAGCTTTAAAACTACCAAACTTGCTTTGAAACTGACTTTTTTAATCGGACACCAGAGAAAGTGACACGAGTTTTCTCCTGTTTTTTACTCCTCCACCTGTTGCTACACATTGCCAGACAGTTCTGAACAAATACTACAAGACTTACCAACTATATTCAGTCGCGGTGTGGAAACAAAAGGCGCATCACTCCTAATAAAATAACACAGTTTTAAAACTGCAATTGGCAAGTCATTAGGGCAGTATTTGACTGCAGAGTGCCAACTTGAGCAGAGAGCACAATATGTTATTCAGCTAATATCAGCTTGGCACACTGTTAGTTTACCAAGAGCCGAATGGCAGAAAAGCCATACTATTCTGCTCGATGAGCACGTTAACTTTTATTAAATTCAGTGATCGCTGATTCCACATTGCTACTTAAGTATAACAAATGTTATAGATAACATAATTATAACTCTCATATATTACATTATTTAGGCAGCCATAGTAATAATTGTCATTTCAAATAAAAGCAATTTGATCAGGTTATACATTTTCTTTTAGTTTATGTTTAAATACTCTGATATCATGAAACTATGGGATTTTTTCCGCAAGGTTATCCTACTATAAGAATTTCATATTGGCCTATGCTTACAATGGCTGATTTAAGACCAAAACTAAGAGAATGAAAAGTGTTAAAGTTAGACAATGCTTTCTCTTCATTTTGTGTTGCATCATATCTTTTTTGCGTCGTAGTCTTCCAGCTGCTGGCGACTAAAGCATGTGCTACATCTAATGTACCTGTTAATTCGGTTTTAGTGGCTTCTCCTCCCTCATTTAAATAAAAATGCACTTGAAACAGTACAATTGTCCATGAATGTTGACATTTTTCTAACAGGCTGTCATATGTTGCATCTGTACACAGGTCCAAAGCAGAAAGTGCTGATGCGGGAACTGACACCTTACTGATTTCCCACTGCATGCTGGCAGACCGGGACACCTTTGGGTGTTTGCATGTCCTCACCTCAGACAATCTGTCCTCTGCATGGTAATCAACGGTGGTGAAATCAGAAAAGAAGGGGCAGAAGAATAGACAGGGAGCGCTCAACAGGCAGACTGCTGCTACCATAGCAACTGGCAAGCTATATCCCGAATGTCAAAATTTAATTTCCTCTGCGTCATTTTTATAGGGAAGACAGGGGAAGAGTCAGTGTCTTAACACAACACACAGGCATTAAAGATACATCACCGAAATATTCACTGATCTGATGCCCCCTCAATCAGGCGCTGGGAAACACTTATTGTTGTCATGAGGAGCTGGTGCCATTTCAGCTCCAAACATGCACAAAAGACAGAAGAAAGCTTTATTTAGCAAAAGCAAATGCCATTAAATTATTAATCTGTCATGTAACTGATGCCATCTGCATTCTTTCAAGAGGTGGCTCAATTCGATTTCATTAGTTTGATTGTTTTCACTATCTGAATATTTGGACAAGATAAGCTTGAAGCTAAGAAAACCAAATCTGTCACATATCTGAGTTATTCTTTGTTCCAGTCAGTCTCTTCTTCCTGCCTCTCAACTAATGTATTGTTAGGTTTCGAATAAATACAAATAGATACAAGTGGAGGCACAATCAATAGTGGGACATTCAGCTGTCTTTCTACGTTTCTTTTTTCTGCATCCAAGTAATTATAGGAACACTATATAAGTGAACCTCAAATTAAAATATCACTGATTTCTCTCAGTAACTCAATTCAATGCCATTGATTTTAAATTGTGAAACTTTTAATACAAAGAAAGATGTATTTTGATCATTAAAATGTTTTAAAGATTAAAATATCTGTTTCGCATACATAACAAACACAAGACTAATAAAAAGGGTTTTAATTCAGAAATCCTGGCCTGCTGAATAGTATGTTCATGTACTGTACAGCGTATGTATTCAATACTTTATAGAGGCCCCTTTTACATGAATTACTGGATCAGTGCAGTGTGGCATAGAGGTGATCAACCTGTGGTCCCATCAAACATATTGATACCATGGTCACTAAACGAGGTATTTGTACTGTCAGCAGTGTGGGCAGGTCCCGGGTTTAGCTAGAAAGTGAAATCAACATCTCCATTAACCTTGCTGGCAGAGGGAGGAATGAAGATTAAGATTTCCCTGTAGACAGCTGCTCTGACGATTGAACCAACACCAGTAGATGATACAGCTCCCCAAATCATCACTGACAGGAAACTCCTCACTGAACCTCAACCAGTCTTTCCACTCCTCATTTAGACTTTGGATCTTTCCATGCAAATTAATTGCAAAATGTACTTTAATCAGAAAACGGTACATTGGACCACTAAGCAGCAGTTCGGTCCATTTTCTGGGTCCTAGATATGTCCTGGGAAACTGAATTTTTAGTTTTCATTAGCTATTAGTCATAATCATTCAAATTAATACAAATTAATTCTTTAAAAATATCACTCCGTGTGAAATGAATATAAACGACTCTCACTTTATGAGTTACCGGAACAAATTAACTTGTGGATGTTCTAATTTATTGAGATGCACCTACATGTTACCAGATCTGTTTTTTCCCCAGTTCACCTAAAATCTTCTTTTGCTCTTTATGGTCTAAACACATTTATCAGACCAAAAATGCAAAACAAATTTAGATTTGAAATTGAATGTCATTGTTTCACAGAACGAATACTTGAATCTCAAAGGCGGAAAATGAAATGCCTGACAACAAAATTATCCAACCGTCAACCATTAAACAGATGCATGCATGCAAGACTGTGCATTTTCTTTTGTGAGCTTACAGCAGATGTTTGGTGCAGTCTGTCTGTCGGTTTCCTGCAGCCGATACTCTCTCTGGACAGGCTGACTGATTGACAGGTGTGTACGTGGACTCGCAATGTGTTCTGGGGACATGGATCTGTTTACTCCAACACAATGTGCAAATCAACTTCTTGTCAGGGCACAACACCCCCGAAGTCACTGTGTTACTAATCATTGGTTTTAAAAGGAAGTTTTATTTTCGGGTTGGATTATGTAATGAAGAGTTTTAGGAAAAGTCTCAGGAAAATTGTATTAAATCAGTGTGTCGTCCTCTGAAGAGATAGAAAAACCACTTTATGTGTGAATGTGTTTCTGGGCTGAAGGGAGCTTGCTCTGCCTGCAGCAAATCAATGTCCCCTCGAGGGAATGTGGAACCTGAGACAAAGAGCAAAAGAGACTTGGAGGAAAGGGAAGACAGTGAAAGAGATAGAGGAAGCCCTGGGCAAACACGTTTCGCCTTTTCCAATCTTAGCTTCTTGACACACAGATTTGCACAATTCCCAACAAAATTTGAGTGAACATTTTTTGTTAGAGGAAATCAGTTAAGATGCTGAACTAAAATGGTAGGAAATTAACACCTGCCAGCAGCTGCGCCTTAGCCAGGAAGAAACGCCAATTTCCACCCATTTTCTCATGCGCTGCAGCATTTAACAACAGCTGTCACAGAAGTAATGAAGGCTTGTGGAATCGGTCCGAAAACTTTAACAACTCTTCGTCACCTCCGCAGCAAATTTCCTAAATCTCATGTCCATAAAACGATGCTTGTTACAATTTATTAACGTTCTTTTCTGTTATGATTTTGAAATCAATTTGCAGCATTTTCATTAGCTTATTTAAATATGCTCCTACACCTGCAGTGAGACATTAATTTTGTTGTGAAAATGATTTATTGGGGATTGCGGTTGTTTGCAAGCACATAGTGGGGATGGTTACCTTAGACAATCCTATTTTTCATGTATTGTGAAAAATGTTCAAAGTTTAAATGCTGCATGAACACGACATGGTGACTGACAAGCAGAACATTCCCAAAAACAAACACTTCTGACTTAGACTTGCATTAGAGACTTGACTTGAAGTCACACTCTACAAACGTGAAAGACAGGCACTTTCTCTTCCATTTATAGAGAAATTCGATGTTTTCTCACATTTACTCACTACATGGTCCTCATGCTTTATTTTCTAATTCATCACGTGTCTTAAATTAAATACATTTTTCCTTAATAATCCTAAAAAACGTTAAAAAAAAATAATAAACCAAAAAAAAAATATGAACAGGTAAAATGAACATAGGAAGGAGTCATAACAAGGATGCTAAGGTTTTTTTTCAAAATAAAAGCACTTATTGGTTGATTCAGTCAGAAATTCCACATCAACAGATACTGACCTATTTCCACAAGTTTTCTGAAAACACAAATTCATATTTATATTATAATTTGATAAATATCTTTACCTTACATGTTCTTGTGTTAAATTAAGATGC